GGGGGGGGGGGGGGTCCGTCTCTGAAGCCAGAAGCTGAACATAAATAATGACAGAGGGACAAACTGCAGTCGGAGCGAGTCGAAGGGTTCGGATTGTCCAAGTCTTTCTCAGTCTGTTCCTCAACGGGAACACTTTGACAGCTTAAGGTTTGGGGGGCGGGATCAGGAGCAACCTCCAGATTAAACATAATCTGACAAATAACAGAGGGACTGGTGGAACACACGAGACATGTCCATGTTCAGGTTACAAAACATCTGATTCGGAGGCAACACAAGATCCGAATGCATAAACACAGACGAGGATAAACTTGTTGGTGCCCCGACTGCCCGGTGCATCGCTGCGTGCCGTTTCAAACAAAGCGTTAGTGTCACCTTCGAGCTTTTCATCGGACATTCAGCTTAAATGTAGCTTGATGTCCCTGGCTGCAACACGCTGAACACGAGGCAGAGAAACAAAAAACCGGAGCCGTCAGAGTTCAGAAAGACGACCGTAGAGGTTAAAACTCAAAAGCACCTCTGCTGTCTTCTGACCGCAGCCGACAAGATTATTAAAGAGCACAAGGTTCAGGGGACTGTAGCCAACCTCCTAGGATGTGGACGCAAGAAGAAATGCGACCCCAGGCAGACGAAGTGTACCAACAACTTTGTTTGTATAAATATAAACTGATGTTCCTCCATACTGGTGAACTTGTGTGTACGGTGTAACCTTAAGAGCTCCCAGATGCTACAGAGTAAAAAAAACATATGACTTGTGTTTCGTTACGCAGCTGCGTGGTCAATTCAGCTGAAACTGTCCTCAAAACAGGACTGAAAGAATATTTGTCATTTATTTTTCAAAACTCTGAACAATACCAACAAATGAATCTGCGGCCACGGTTTAGGGTGGAAGCAAAACAGGACACTCGTTTGACTAGATGGAAAAAAATAGGAAACTAGATGCTGAGCGTGTGCAGGAATAAAAACAGCTGATGTACCTGCACTAAACAAAAACACAAGTTATCAGCTGCTCTTGGTTGTTTATCACAACTGCAAACCAACAAACACCATGTGGTGATTTTTCTGGTCTTTTTCTGAGCTGGTTGAGAAAATCACGAGACGTTCATCAGTAACGACGAGCAGCCTGACCCACGTTTAGACGTCTGCAGTGAAGCAGGCGCTGTGGGGGGTGTGGGGGGGGGGGTGTTCTCTGGTTATATCTTCAGCACAGACACATGCACAGTTATTACAATTGTTTGACAATTCAGATAATCTTATTGGTTTCTACTCTGCCTCCTCTAAACAATCCGAGTACTTTAAGGCAAATTTAACAAACTTCTCTGTGCAACGGCCAAAAAAAAGTTTTTTTTTTTTCTTTCTGAAGAGCGATAGAGAAAAAAACCTGCCAGCTGCATGCGAACGGTCTCTGCGAGCGCTGCTCTAAAGCGTTCATGCACTGGGAGCTAACTGGGGGGGGGGGGGGGGGGGGGGG